AAACTAGTAATTTGTCGCGATTCATACGGAAGAGCCGCGAAACTTGGCCTGGACAATCATTTATTTGGTAGCATTTTCGTGTCTAGTCGGAACCATCATTGCTGCTGCGGCTGCCCCTACATGCAGGAGGCCGACAACAAGTACTGCGACAATTGCAAAAGAATGCTTCATGAGAGCGCGATGGGGATGATGATGGTGGTGCTGAACATGCTGACGCTGATGGTTGTGCTGATACTGTTGTACACTGTGTTGTTGATGCTGACGGCTGACCATGTTCATGGTCAGGAACAGCACTGACGAAGGTGCTCTCAACACTCTAAACCATCCTAAACCCAACACCCTGAGCCCAGAAGACTGCACAAAACCCTTGCAACGTAGACAGGCCCTATAAGCCCTGCACATGAAACCCTGACTCAAGCCTCTAAACCCACAGACCCTACACCCTAAAGTTCCTAAAGCCTCGTTTCTGGGCTCCCAACCCTAAACACCGAATGAAAACCCTCAGCCCTAAACCCCAACCCTCAACCCTAAACCCTCAACCCTAAACCCCAAACCCTCAACCCTAAACCCTCAAGCCTAAACCCTAAACCCTCGACCCTCAAGCCTAAACCCTCAACCCTCAAGCCTAAACCCTAAACCCTCAAGCCTAAACCCTAATCATCCCGACCTGTGCAGCGAGCTCGCTTCGTCCCTCGGCAGCAAAGGGCCGACGAAGCATGGTCGCCTGTTCTTTGGGTTCTTAGGGTTTAGGGTTTAGGGTTGACTTTGGGTTTACGGGTTTAGGGGTTTAGGGCTCCCTAAAGGGGTCTATAAGGGTTTAGGGGTTTAGGGGTTTAGGGCTCCTTAAAGGGACCTATAAGGGTTTAGGGGTTTAGGGTTCCTTAAAGGGATCTAGAAGGGTTTAGGGGTTTAGTGTTCCTTAAAGGGGTCCTTAAAGGTTTAGGGGATTGGGGGTTTAGGGGCTTCGGTCTACGGGTTGAAAGTTTTGGGGTGTAGGGGTTTCGGGTTTAAGCACAATGCCAGGATTCGTGCTTCCATTTACAAACACCTTTGCAAGTCCTCATAATACAGTTTTGCAAGGTCTCTTGTTGTACTCTGGCTTACTTTTCAGAAACTCAGTTCAAGTTGCCATAGTCATTAGCTTACGCAAAGCCCCCTTTTTTAAACCCAGGTTCCTTGAAGGATTGCGGTAGGCTTGCGGTTGAAACAGGTTCGGAAAGGCTCTTTCGCTCTAAACCCTAAGCCCTAAACCCTCTTTCGGGTTTGTCAGGCTTCTAGAGGGGCTCGTGGGGGTTCTTTAGGTTGCATAGGAGATCCCTACATCTCCCTCCCCGAAGCTGTCCAATCTACTTGCCCATGTTATCTTACGTCGTAATAAACCCTAAACCCTAAACCCGAAACCCTAAACCCTACACCCCAAACCCTAAACCCGAAACCCTAAACCCGAAACCCGAAACCCGAAACGCGAAACCCGAAACCCTGTCTTCTTTTGAGTCTGCAGTGTTCGGTTTGGTCTCCATGGCTTCTCCGCCTGTGCCTGAGCGGCTGGGGTTCGATGCTCCACTTTGCATCATCACACTAGAGCCCCTATCTTGCCTAAACGTATCACCCACACCCGACAACCTAAACCCTAAACTCCGGATCTTAGCTATCAGTGCATACCCCCACACCCCACATCCCAAGCCGATAAAACGCTACACCCTACCCTGAACCGCTAAACCAGTGCAGACCCTGGGCCTCGAAGATTGTGCATCCCAGGGAGTAGATGTCTGCAGCAAAGTCGTACCTCAGGGTTTAGGGTTTAGGGTAGCCGAACCTCCTGGTAACCTCCCGAACTCGAGCCCCCAAAATCTTAGCCCCACGAAAGCATGCAATCTTTAACCCCGTCCCTGCTCCAGACCACGGAATCGGGCTCCGGAGTTCCGACTTTCCTGAAGGGGCCTTGAATCGAATCTGAAGCTTCGATCAGGGACGGGAGGAACGTTTAGGGGTTTCTGGATTTGGAGCTTCCCTGTCCTGCTTCTCGCTGAGCATGTGGCTTGCGAGATCGCGTGAGTGTAGCTGGAGTGACTTCGACATCGCTTGCCTACACCCAAGCCTTCTTATGAATCGAGTTAGTCATTCGTCTGCTGGCTCGTAAATGCGGCAGTTGTTGCACGTATGCATGTTCGTGCGCATGGAAGGAAGTAAGTAAGTAAGTAAGTAAGTAAGTAAGTAAGTAAGTAAGTAAGTAAGTAAGAAAGTAAGTAAG